GGGGAGAGCGGCCCCTTGCCTACCCCGTGCACAGTGCCCCACGCTGCAGCCGCTCACAGCCCGTGTGGGGCTGCCTGTGCCTGCTCCATACAGCTCCACTCTGCAAGCAGCTGCAGCAGGGAGCACCAGCCATGGGGCGGGGGAGGAGCTGCTTTTCTCCATGCGGGGAAGGAGCCCAGGGAAAAGTTGTGCGGGGGTGGGGGGAAGCGGCCCCTCCCCCACCCTGTGTCTGACGCCAAAGCACAGGGCGTCAGGCCCGGGGCGGTTGAGGGGCCGCTTTTCCTTCCCCTCTTTCAGCTTTTCCCCAGGCCACTCTTCCCCAGGCTCCTCCCCTGCCCTCCCCTTTTCCCCTTACCTGCAGTTCCAATGTGGGGCAGCCATGTGGTCTCAGGCCAGAAGCCCCTCCTGGGGCTTCCGGCTGTGGGGGTGGGACTGGGCAGATCCTGCTGTTGTGGGAACCTGCTGGGCTTCGCCTGGGTCCTACTGCCCTTCCTGTCATTTTTGACAGGAACCAAAGGCAGATAAATATTAATTTTCTAAATTTTTTAGGGGCCCCGCAGGCAAGATAGAATGGCCTCCCAGGCTGTATTTTGCCCACCCCTGACCCAGGAGCACACATGCCAAGCAAAATGCCTTTGTTGCGTGCCACGCTCTGGCACCTGTGCTGAGGATTGCCTATCCCTGCATTACAACTTAAATGATAGTTAGGGGAAGGCAGCTGTCTCAGTAGGGAGGCAGCTGCATGGACTAGATATTACTTGAGGGACACCACAGTAAAAGCGTAGGAACCTTATTGAAAGGTTCTGCTGCAGAACCTCTTTAACTTCAGCTGCTTGCATTTAATAACTTTATTGTTAGTAAAACTGATTTTTAGAGATTTTTCACTGATTAGGCTGAGAAAATTGTCAAAATGAACAGTGTGAATAGTGACACCTACTCTGTGTTATTGTAATTGTCTCATTTTTAATAATCCAAGATCTTGTTACCAACAGTTTATTTGTAAACTGCTTGTTGACGATGTTCCTTTAAACACCAACATCTGGGAGGGACAATTAAATTGTTCTTTTCTTGCTGATTACAAGCAAAGACAATACTCTAATGACCTCCAGTGAACATTAGGTGGTATTATGGATTTAGTAGCTGGCATGTTAATGGGTACTCTTTTGCCAGAGGTACTTTATTTTGGCTGAGATGAAATTAAACCCTTGTCTTCTATCAATCCCATGAGAAGTTTACAGGTAGTTAGCCTGGAAGAGAAGCAGATTCCAGCTCTAATACTTACTTTTTTCAAACCTAAATTCTGTCTCTCAAAGCAGCTTCAGCTGTAATCTTAATTTATTTTCTTAAACTGCTACACTCATCTGCTTTCCACCCCTAGAGCTAGCTGCACTTTTTGTGTTAGATGATAAATTTTAGCCTCTATGTATATGAAAGAGAGAAAGTGATCAAGTGAATGCTTTGAGTTGAAAGATGCTATGTAAAATAATTTACTGCTGAGGAGTTGTTATGCATTTCCCTCAGATGTCTATTTGTGTTTTGGAATCTTGTAAGAGGCCCCTGTATCCTGCAAGGATACAAGCCTCATAAAAGCTTGGGATAATGAAGAAAGCTCTGGGATCCAGCAGAGCCAAATACAATGAAGAAACAGAACAACCCATTTATTTAGCTGACTTGGGGTTGCAGGCTGCCTGTGTTTCCATTTGAACTTTTCAGCATTATATGCTACAAGCTGATCCTTTGTCAGCTCTTCCTTAATCCCACTGTATTTGCTGATTTCCCCAGCCTTACATTTTGATGGAAGCTAATCCCAGAATGTCTGCATAGCTGAGTGTGAATCTTTTATCCTTACATATGCATTTCTTCTTCAGTCTTCTCTCTTTTAATCGACCTGAGTATTCAGAGCAGCTCCCAGCCTTTTGGGGGGGAGGGGGGGGAGAAGGGGGGAGGAAATAGCTAGTCTATCATGTGAGAATCAAGTGCTGCCTTCTGTCTTTCACACCTCTAAGCCACTGAGTCATCTTTCATTCTCTATGCATATATATACATAATACACACATAATGCGGCTAAATTATTATTTTGGTTGAGATGCATGCCATCAGATGGTGTCCTTTTAATTCACACTTCTGTGCCTGTGTATAGCAGCAACCCCCAGGACATAACATCAAGCATCTGGTTTGAGCCTCTGTGGAAATTCCCAGGTCCATTGATGGCCAGCCTCTGCACTAACCAGACAGAAGTTATAGATGAGCTAGGAGTGCTAACTTTTGGGTTTTTTTCTTGCATCTGTTCAATTTGCTTTACTCATTAAGCAACATTTCTTTCCAGTAGGAAAGACACCAGAGACAACAGTGAGACGCCTAGTATAAGAAACTGAATAGAATAGAATTCACACTTACAAGGCCCTTCTTCAGTGGTTTTATTTCAAATTGATTTTAGTAGAGTCTGCTTTGAGGAAGGATATTCCATTCTCCCTGTTTGGAGGTTAGGGGGTGCTGGTACACAAATCCAACCAGCTGGTAACATGGCTCGGTTATTTTTTTTTATCTTTTAAAAAAAATCATGGGCATGTGTGCCTGTGTGTGTATTCCAAGGTTTCAATAACTGTAGAATACATGCAAGATCTTCCTTAGGTTCCCTCTTCAGCTCCCACGATCAGCCAGGGCCTCCTGATTGTGGAAGTAACTGAGTAAGCCACCTTGCTAGCAGAAGGTGTAGCCTTAACTAAATCTGCCTTAGGGTGGAAACAAACATCACCTTTGCTGCCGTAACAATTTCATAGCAGCACAAAGCAAAAGCAAATAGATGTTCATACCCAGTGGGGCTGTGGTAAAAGGTAGTAACAGTTTGTGCCACTTTATTGCAGCAGACATCCATTTGTTTTATGGCAGGAGAATGTTGGTAGCCGAGAGCTGCCTGTACTCTCCAGCTGCCACAGGCAGGCGCTCTGAGAGCTTGAGGGGCCTGATCCTGTGCACCTTGAATTCCCTGGCAAAAGCAGGCCTCTCAAGCCCTGGGAGTACCTGCCTGGCACAGCTGATCCATTTCATTTGGTGACATCTGTTTCTACCCTTATGTTTCATAATGTTCAAGGTAATTGCAGGAACCTGGGAAAGCTGCTCCAGGGCCACATTTAAGGTGACTTTGTGGTTAGAGAAAACCAGATGCATCTTCTGAAGCTCACCTTTGGGTATAAAATCCACTCTCCTCTCCCAAGAAGTAGTAGTCCAGACTTTTCTGTGTCATGTTTAATTTCATCAGGGTCCCTTTTCCACTGAAGACAGCAACTGTTCCTGCTCAAAAAATGCTTAGGCTGCAAGCCTACATGGGAAACGTTGCCCAAAGTGGTGTTAATGAGGCTCTTTTACTCATGCGCTCTCCTTGGAGATGGTTTAAAAACCCTGAAGCACAATCCAGGCTCATTGACTTGTTTGTTGAGAGCTAAATTTTGTATTGGGGGATTTTGTCCCAGTTTGCAGTCCATCTCCCCAGAGATAGAATACCTGCCCTCTGCTCTGAGCCCATGGGCATTCCTAAACTAGGAATGCAAGTCAATTAACCTTTATCTAAGCTTTCCAAGCTTTATTCAAGCTTTCTAGCATTTCTTTGTGGTATTTCTGAGGTAATCCACACTGGGGGAGAGTTTCCCAACATTTTATGTGGGGGAAAATAACATTTTTTTTAAATGATGATAAAGCTGTGGAATGGGCTATAAAAGAGGAGAGTGGGTGCAGGGAAGGAGTTGAGAGTCAGTATTGCAGCAGAGGGATTTGTCAGAGGTGTCAGGAAGAGAGAACAGTGAAGGATATAAAAAGGCTAGAGTGGGGAAAAACAAGCTATTTGAAGTGTACAGAGACTGAACAGGAGCAAGCAGCAAAACCCAGAGGGACCCTGCTGAATCTGTGAAACCAAGATATGAGGAAAAGGTAATGGTCTGAAACATCTGAATATGATGAGTGGAGGGGAAGGGTGGAACAAGAGGAAAAGCATTCTAAGATGCAATGGAATTATCCGAACTGCTGGGAAGAGAACAATTTCCCTGTGGTTAGTGCATTTGACACAATAGTGAGGGGAAAAGATGTGATCTATTTCTTAAAATTCTTTTTCCTTTAAGCATTCAGAAAATGTATTGTTCAGTGGCAAAGCGAGGTTAGATTTTTCTTTTAACCTAGTATGGCTGATGTGAGAGAATATTTTCAGCTGCTAGTGATTGGAGCAGTTCACTAATACCATTGTACAAGAAACCAGAGATGTATAATAAGAATTAAGCCATCCAGTCCATCCCCAAGAGCCAATTCAGGTTTCTTTACTACCATAAATAATTTAATAACATAATAATCATTATAATAAAAATCATAATAATCAGTCCATTCAGCTTTTAAGTACCCTTGATGGTGAAGTTTCTACCACTGCCTTTGGGAGGCTAGTCATTCACTAGGCTGATTGGAGTTTTGCAGTTGCACCACACTTAGGATCTGAATGGTGTTGCCTTGTTGGTTCATCTCTGTCTTGGGGTGCAGAAGGGATTGTTATGTGAGACCACCCCGCCTTTCTCCCACACCATGTGGCCCTGGACTCACCCTCAGCTCCCTGAGCAGCATGTCATACTGCCCCACCCCATGGAGGTAGAGGCAGGAAGCAGCAGCCAGAGGAAGGAGGGGGAACTTGAAGACTCCAGATGCTATTGCATTTAGAGCAATAGGAGAGCAATGGAGGAAGCGGCAGCTGGCCAGGAGCTTAGAGACTGCATTTAATTATTCACAGGATGCATGCAGCCCATGGGCCACCAATTGGACAGGCTAGCTTCAGGCCACTGTAACCACTCCAGCTACCTGAAAGAGATTCTTCTTCAGTTTTTCTTTTTCTTTCCTTTCCTCCATGTATATTTCCCCTCTTCCATTCCTTCCTGTCATGCAAAGTTTAGATGTTCACCAAGTCCCTCATTTTGAAAAACATTGGTTTAGGCTGCTTTAGTAACTTACTTAATTTAGGTGTGGTTTTTTGGTTTGTTTGCACAGACAGCTGGGTTGAAGGGGAATTGTGTCCATCTTAGAATAGACTGCATTGTAACAGAGCCACTGCTGATGTTTGGTGGGAGACAAATTGATGATAGTGCTGTTTCATGGCTTACTTGTTGCAGGTGTACTAGCACGCGACCAGGAGAGACCGGAATGGACGTGACGAGCCGCTGCACACTCGGAGATCCCAATAAACTGCCTGAGGGGGTGCCACAACCTGCTCGTATGCCCTACATCTCAGACAAGCACCCTCGGCAAACCTTGGAGGTCATCAACCTTCTGCGGAAGCACCGGGAATTGTGCGACGTGGTATTGGTGGTTGGTGCTAAAAAGATCTATGCCCACAGGGTGATTCTGTCAGCCTGCAGCCCTTACTTCCGAGCCATGTTCACTGGGGAGCTG